CCAGTCTGGACGACAGAGTGAGACTCCAACTCAAAAAAAAAAAAAAAAACAAACCAAAAAAACCCCAGCTTTGACTGCCTATTCTCATCCCAAAAAAATTATTGTGAAAGGAGATAAGTTTAGACCATGTGCTCTGGAGCTAGACGCTCGGCTCACCCTACTAGCTGTGTCTCAGTTTTCTTATCTGTGATTTAGGGACAGTAATTATATTTATTGCATAGAGTTGTAAGAATTAGTAGTATACGTTAAGTGTTTGAACAGTACCTAGCCGAAGGCAAGCACTCTATTAACTGTTACCAACTGTTGTGGTTTGGGTGCTATAAATGTATTATGGGAACCTTAGCCCTCCTGGCCAGGTATGATGATTCTGCGGAAACACCTTTTTCATATTACTGAAGTGAGTTGATGTTTGGAGTACACAAAGTCAGGTAAACAACTTCCCTAGCATTTGTTCCCAAGTGGAGTTTGGGAAATAGAACATCAAATGTAAGTTTGTTTAGAGTTGTGGGGAAAGTGCATACAGGGTTAGCATTGGAGCCTCCGTTTTCCCATCTTTAAACTCATGAGTGCCCGTTAATTTATGCCTGTTTCAAGTTTCATATTCTAAAAATGCAGAGGCAATATAGGAAAGAGCTGCAGCATTCAAACCAAAGTCCAGACTCTTAGCAATTTATTATAAGTGAGAAAAGTTTGGAGGCGTTCAATCTTTGTATCAGGAAAATTAGTGGTACCTTTATGGAATAAACAAGTAGCAATGGCCTGCGGGATCATCAGTGGATATCAGAGTGAAGTCTTTTGTGAAAGTGAATCGATGTATCCTGGTATAAAGGTGGGTTAGAGAAAAGAACGTAAGTTTGGGAAATAGAGCTGTGTGTTTCCATTCCTAGAGTAATACAAACAGCAGATTAATTGGATTTACTAAATTGTAAAGTGGCGTGGTGATTTCCAAGGGTTGTCATCAGTTTGGAGTGTGGAAAGACAACTGTACTTGGCAATCTAGAAACCCTTGAGATTTGTGACTTGTAGAGACTGAGGTGGATTTTGGAAGACTTCTTCAAACTACTCATTTTGAGCTAGTGAAACTCCTATAACGTAAATGATTGGGTAATTTTTCAGAGACAATGGAACATTAAAGTAGATAAACGTGAAGTTTTAGATAATGGCTGTGTTTCTCTCTATTCAGCATTCTGATGGCAAATAATGAGCAAAGACTGATTTTATTCTTGAGTTGGAGTCTTACTCTGTCACCCAGGCTGGAATGCAGTGCCATACTCAGCCACCGCAGCCTCGACCTGCTGAGCTCAGGCGATCCTTCCCCCTCAGCCTTCCAAATAGCTGGAACCACAGGCGTGCGCCACCCTGCCCAGCTAATTTTTTGATTTATTGTAGAGACAAGGTCTCGCCATGCTGCCCAGGCTGGTCTCGAACTCATTGGCTCAGGCAATCCTCTCCCTTCAGCTTCCCAGACCTCAACGTGATGGAATTATTGGCATGGGCCGCGGCTCCTGACCAGACCTTATCCGGTGTCTTTTTGAATTATAATTTGAGTGTTTTCTTAGGGGTGTCCACTTATTTAAGCTATGAACTAGTATTAAACTTTGAATTATGAGATATCCCAATCTAACTTCTCACCAAACAGTAAAACGGCAAGGATGCTCTACCTAGGCTGTCGTGATTCTTTTTTGTTCTTTCCCTCTTTCTTTCTTCTTCCCCCATTTTTTGTTCTGAAGCACTCATCTGTAAATTGGACTAAAAGTTTTATATAAATGAGCTACTGCTACAGGTGATCTTGTCACCGAGATATTAAAATGTACTATTTGTTGCAGATGCAAAAGAATACTGTACTTTATGCATAATCAAAATGCCATTCATTTATCACACATTCACATGCTTTGTCTCTTTCCCTTCTCTCCTGGTCCTACTTGCCCTCTCCCAAAAGGATGCTCCCCTTCTACCGCAGTTGGAGAACTGGACTGCTACTGCTGTTACTCCTGGCTGTGGCCGTGAGGGAATCCTGGCAGACAGAAGAAAAAACTTGTGACCTGGTAGGAGATAAGGGTAAAGAGTCCGAGAAAGAGTTGGCCCTAGTGAATAGGCTGAAACCACTGTTTAACAAAAGGTAAATGAAAAGAAACTTAAAAGGCTGGAGAAAATATTTATATTAAAGGGGCTCTTTTTCTCTTACTGATTTAGGATTTCAGTATTACTATGGAGGGAATAAATGTATAATGAGCCCCTCTGGGAGATGGTTCTAATCTGAACTTTAATAATATATATATAAAATATGACATCTTTCTCTCTTTTGTGATATAGAGCAAATTCTTAGCCCAGTTATTAGTTGACGTATGCAGTTTTCTGATCTTTCATAGAAGAGTAGCTGTTTCCAAGACTGGATCCAAGAGAGCAGCTTGTGGAAATTCTTAATACCTGCTCATAATAGGACTTTAGAAGTATCAGATAAACATATGTAGGCCTATACATGTCTGTTTTTGTTTTTGTTTTTTTTTGATTTGGAGTCTCATTCTGTTGCCCAGACTGAAGTGCAGTGGCACGTTCCCGGCCACCGCAGCCTCGACCTGCTGGGCTCCGGCGATCCTTCTACCTCAGCCTTCCAAGTAGCCAGAACTACAGGCACATGCTACCATGCCCGGCTAATTTTTGATTTATTGTAGAGTTGAGATCTCGCCAAGTTGCCCAGGTGGGTCTCGAACCTGCGGGCTCAGGCTATCTACTCTCCTCGGCCTCCCAAAGTGCTGAGACTACAGGCTGAGCCACCGAGCCCGGCCTATGTGTTTTCTTAAATGTCAGGAATCTTCAGATACATAAATCTGAAGGTGATCCTTAAGAAACAAGTATCCCATGAACATGGACCCTTGTCATGAGGCTATAGTGGCTAACACTTTAGAATAGCCTAGAATAACATTCTGAAAATATCTAGAGTATCTAACTGTCTTGGGTAATGTATTTTAATAATTCATCATCAACAATAAGGATGGTCTGTCAGGGTCATGAATTTCTCATAATTCAACAAACATTCACTGTTACTTTTAACCCTGACTTCAGATAAGTAATCTGAGCACACTTTTTTTCTTTTTAACATAAAGGGGAGGCCGTTCTTCTGGGGGCCGATAGCTAGTAACTCTCCTTTCTTCCCACTTCTCTTTACAGCTTTGAGAGCACCGTGGGCCAGGGCTCAGACACATATATCTACATATTCAGGGTGTGCCGGGAAGCTGGTAACCAAACCTCTGGGGCAGGCCTGGTGCAGATCAACAAAAGTAATTGGAAGGAGACAGTGGTAGGGAGGCTCAACGAGACTCATGTCTTCAATGGAAGTAAGACCCCGCCCCCGATTGATTAATTGATATCCAGTCAGTTCCCTGACAGTCCTGGTCTTTCCCAGTCCCTTCAGCATATTGTACACGTGGTGCAACATGCTGGAGACCATGAACCACAGGAGGCCTAGTCACAGCTCCTCTGAAGCTGCAGCTCAGGGCATTTACGTGCTTAAAGTTAGTGAAAAACTTAAGCAAAAAGAAGAATCTAACCAGAATTCTATAGCCTGGAGTCATTTTATTCACCCAAATACTTGAGGTTCACACTAGGCTTAAAACCATCAACCACCATTTACCATCAAATTAATCAAGTGTGTCAGTGAAGTTTTAAGAGAAGCTTTTTTGCACATCAGATTGTCTAAAAATTTCCCCACCAGCTTTGGTGCTGTGTTGGAACTATTTCTCAAAAGTCATACAGTCAGCCGGGCTCGGTGGCTCAGCCTGTAATCCCGTGCATTGGGAGGCTGAGGTGAGTGGATTGCCTGAGCCCACGGGTTTGAGACCCACCTGGGCAACTTGGCGAGACCTCATCTCTACACTAAATCAAAAAATTAGCCGGGCGTGGTAGCGCGCGCCAGTAGTTCCAGCTACTTGGAAGGCTGAGGCGGAAGGATCGCTGGAGCCCAGCAGGGCGAGGTTGCGGTGGCTGGGAGCAGCCACTGCACCCCAGTCTGGGCGACAGAGTGAGACTCCAACTCAAAAAAAAAAAAAAGTCATAACAGTTATATTGCTGAAAGAAACACGTGAGCCCCCGTGGTCTAATTCCCTCCCATTAATAACTAAATTGGCCAGATGCAATGGCTCACACCTATAATCCCAGCACTTTGGGAAGCTGAGGTGAGAGGTTTGTCTGAGCCCACCGGTTCGAGACCAGCTTGGGCAACTTGGCGAGACCTCGCTTCTACAATAAATCAAAAGATAAGCCAGACATGGTGGTGCGTGCCTGTAATTCCAGCTACTTGGAAGACTGAGGCAAAGGATTACCTGAGCCCAGCAGGTGGAGGCTGCGGTGACCATGAGCGTGCCACTGCACTCCAGCCTGGGCAACAGAGTAAGACTCCAACTAAAAAAAAAAAAAAAAAAACGAAAGCTTACTTATCCTAGTCCTGTAAATAATATGATAAAAAATAAGATTTAAAAATTTGGGGGCTGTAAATATATGACTTGGTTCTGGACCCAATTCATCCTATTTCCTAGTCCTGTGACTTTGAAAAATCATTTCACCTTTTGGACTTTGTTTTCTCATATACAAAATTGGAAGCAAAATGCTTTCCTAATACACCTCACATAGTTGAGGAATCAAATATTTTGCAAAAGAATTTTGAACATATTAAATACTAAAGAGAAATGCATTCCAATCTTAAAAATCATTCATTTTAGATTTATCTGTGTCTAACTTTGAATTCTAGATGGAAATTATAGGGAACCTGTTTTACTTCAAGCAGGTGTTAAAAAATGTGAATCGGTATTAAGGTATGGATCATATTTGTTTTTGCACTGTCAGTTGCCTACCTTTAATGTGGAAAAAAAATTTTTTTTTTTTTAAGTTGGAATCTCTTGTTGCCCAGGTTGGAGGGCAGTGGCATACTCACGGCCACCACAGCCTCAACCTGCTGGGCTCAGGCAATCCTTCCGCCTCAGCCTTCCAAGTAGCAGGAACTACAGGCATGTGCCACCATGCCCAGCTAATTTTTTGATGTATTGTAGAGATATGAGGTCTTGCCAAGTTGCCCAGGCTGGTCTTGAACCCATGAGCTCAGGCAATCCTCTCACCTAGACCTTCCAAAGTGCTGGGATTATAAGCATGAGCCACCGTGCCCAACCTAATGTGGAAAATTAATATTAATCTTACATGAATATCTGACTCTTAGCTGTCTTAAACACAGGAACACAAACCTTTGTAGAGAAGCAAGTATAAGCCTGGCATTTCTGGTATACAGAGCTCATACTGATGAGGGTCATTTTAATTACAACCAATTCACTGAAGTCCTCAGCTTACTCTGCCATATTACCTAGACCTGCCTCTGCTTTTCCCCAACCCATAGTTCCATTTTCCTTGTCCCTCCTCAGGTAATTGGATCATGCTGATCTATAAAGGGGGTGATGAGTATGACAGCCACTGTGGCAAGGAGCAACGTCGTGCAGTGGTGATGATCTCCTGCAATCGACACACCCTAGCGGTGAGGCATCCTGGGTATATAATATAAGCTCAGGGTGGAGATTGACAGGACTGAGGTGGGAGAAAGTATCCAGAGGGGACAAGATACACTGACATGGACATGAGAAAACTAGTTCAGTTTTTCTGTTTCAGACACCCATCTGTGGTAAATAGTCCACTAACAGGAAAAAGCAAACATTTGGGGGTTTTTTATTGTCCAGTGGAAGTCAGAAGCAAACACTTTACCACATAAATGTGTTGTCTTTTCATCATCAGGGCAATTTTAACCCTGTGTCAGAGGAGCGTGGCAAAGTCCAAGATTGTTTCTACCTCTTTGAGATGGATAGCAGCCTGGCCTGTTCCCCAGAGATCTCCCACCTCAGTGTGGGTTCTATCTTACTTGTCACGTGAGTGTTTTCTTTTTTTTTTCCTTATTGGGACAAGCCTTCCTTTTTTATTGTTTGTTCTTAAGGTCAGCAACTATTCGGTGGTACCGGGCACTAATTGTGTGTATGTATGTGTTATACTATAATTGGTAGGGGGATGACTTTGTGTGAAAATCTTCTGACTATAATAAGTGTCTGGGAAGTTTTTTTAAAATGAGATTTAATGTTTAGTCTCCAGTAAATATTTGCATTTGGAGGTGCTTCTTTTCCCTACTGGAGGGCTGGACGATTTTTATACTATGTCATTAGATTACAGAACTCTCAGAAATGTATTTATGTATCTAATGTGATTATCCTCAGCCATAAGTCAGAATCACATACTAAGTTACTATTTTTTTCTGGGCCTTTGCTTCTCTCGAACTGACAGCACTCTGTTTTCTAAGGAAGCTGCTAGCCCTCTTTCATTTAACATCCTACTACCTCCTTTTTCTTTTTCACAGAACATAGCTTAGGAAACAGCCAACAATGGATCTAGAGGTCATCCTCAGTATCTGAGTTATACTGTTTCTCAGTTCTTAAGTATAGATGTCTTTCTTCCTCTACAGGTTTGCATCACTGGTTGCTGTCTATGTCATTGGAGGGTTTCTGTACCAGCGACTGGTGGTAGGAGCCAAGGGAATGGAGCAGTTTCCCCACTTAGCCTTCTGGCAAGATCTTGGCAACCTGGTAGCAGTAAGTGACAGGGCAACTGAGTCCTGTGTAAAGGGTTAACCATCCCGGTTTCTTAGGGATTTCCTGAGGCAGGGGCTTTAGGTGCTAAAACCACAAAAGTCCCATTAAACCAAGACAGTTGGTTCCCCTTGTAAGTACAAAGAAGTACATGGCATAGCATCAGTTTCTGGCCTTGTTAAGACATCGCTGAAAGGTCAACACTCTCCAAAGTTCAATCTCCCCAAAGACCAATCAGTTGATCTCTCCAAAATCTGACTTGGCTATTAAGGGGACCTGGGTGGACAGGAAATGATGCCTAATTAGAAGAAACACTTTCTCTTATTTCTCCCAATTGAATTTAGGCTAATCCTCAGATATTTTTGGTTTCCTCTTAATTACCCCTAAGAAAACCAATTCTTCTCACGTTTCTAGACCACAAGTATACTTTGTCTTACCCTAAAGTTGGATATTCCATATAATCGTTCCCTTCGGTTTCTTTTCCCTACAGGATGGTTGCGACTTTGTGTGCCGCTCTAAACCCCGAAATGTGCCTGCGGCCTATCGTGGTGTGGGAGATGACCAGCTGGGGGAGGAGTCAGAAGAGAGGGATGACCATTTATTACCAATGTGATTGCACTTTAAATGTCTGGCCTCGTCTTCAGTCCCCCAAACCAAAGCCTACTCAGCCAGGTTTCTCAAGCAGTCTCAACTCCAGTTTCTCATCTCACCCCTAATATTGCTCTTGCTTTCCAGTTTGCTTATGATTTGCATCCTCTTCTCATTAGTAGGAACTGCCTTCAGGTATGGTTGTTATGTCAAAGGTAATGTAAAAGGGCTTGTGAAAACAGACCGTCTCTCAGTATCAGAAGATACAAGTAAAATAGGGATAGGATAGTGGGCAAAAAAGGATGTGGCAGGCTCCTTGGCCAAGCTTTTTTAAACACATTTCCACAAGTTTTTGAGACACTGGACTTCTTTAATTAACAAAAAACAGCAAAGAAACATTATTTATACAGGTTTGATTGCTTTCATGTTGTTACTCTGTACCCTACAGTAGCCTTCATGAGAATCTGATTTTCTTGCTGCTTGGAATTACTTTGCAGTGGCTACTTGGTTGCAATTCAAGTACTCCCCTTTGATATGAGCCTGGAAATGTTCTAGACTTGCTTCTCCCACCTCTGGGATTAGGGTAGAAAGAGGTGAAATTTCCCATCACATCACCTGTTGGCATTGGGGTGACTTTATAGCTGAAATTGAGCCATGGATTGTGGTTCTGCAGTTACCAGTGTGCATATAGCCAAAATGCCTAATCCAGAAATTGAATCCGTTGGAATGAGAAACTGAAATTGACCTCCTGTGCTACTGGAATTCCAGAAAAGGGAAGTCTGTTTACCTTGTGATAGGACCATGATGGTTTTCTTCTCCCATCTATAATAATAGCTGGCAAAGCTTTGCCTCTTGCTGTTTCTCTCTACCATATTTCTAAACATATGTTGCACTTTCTTCACAGGCATGTGGTTTTGACTTTTTTTAATCTTCTGGAAAGGGAATGGAAGCAGAAGTGGGACATTTAGGGCTCTGCTGTCCTCCCTGGGTGTGGAAAGCTGCTGCACCTGTCCCTTCTGCTGGCTCAGGGAAGTGTCTTCTGCCCACATTTCTGCGGGGAAAGGTTTTTAATCCTCTGATGCTTCCATCTTTCTGTTTAGGCCATGTGCCCAGAAACCTGGGCTGATCTTTCAGTAACAGTGAAGCTACTAAAGATAACATGGCTCCACTGGACACAAAAGAGGGATGGAATCAATAGACAGGGGGCCTTTTATAAGCCTTTGGAGGAGAAATTATATCGCCTTTGGACTTTTCAATACTATTGGAATGATTTTTTTTCTAAACAGGGAAAATGATGTTGCAAAAGCATCTTTTTTGTTATCTGTTTGCATCCCTCCCCCACACCCTGGTGTTATAAAATGAAAAAAACACCACTTTTTGTACAAAAACACTTAATGATTAAAAACCAAACAAAACATGCTGGCCTAGTCATTTGTGTGAAAGAAAAGGGCAGAGAGATCAGAATGGAGTAAGACACTTGAGACCAATTTTCATCCTTTTACTGAGGAAGAAAAAATATTTAATATTTTTGTTGTATAAGGAATAGTGCCTAAGGCAGGTACTTATACTCCAGACCTCAGCCCCCACGCACTCCTGTTTAATAAAGCTATAGGACAAAGCAAAGTTGGAACTGAAAAGTAGGGTAGAAAATAACACATAAATTGGAAGGGAACAGGGGAATGCAGAAAGAATGACAACAGCCACACGTATGCCAGTCAAACACTGTAGTCCCTGCAGCAAGTCAGAAAGATGCCAACCAGGCTGCTTCACTGGCTGGGAATCCTGCCATGGAAGCAGGAGAAAAGATTCAATACTAAGGGAGTAAGTGACGACCAAGAAAACTGAGCCACAGCTACAGTGGGGCAATGGGGGGGGCGGTACCAGATTTTGCTACTTGTGTCCCACCAGCTAGAAGAACCCGCCTCTCCCCCTGGGGAGGCAGACCTGCAGCCCACCACTTCCTTGCCTTCCCATGCTATGTGTGCCGTCTCTTAGAGAACTGAGACCTGGTCAGATGCTCTGCTCCAGGATAAGGCTGAGCAGTCCAGGTTCTTTAGGCTGCCTCTTTCATAGAGACTGGATATGGGTAGGTGGGAGTGGTGAGAATGGTACAGGTTTTTAAAAATAAAGTAGAACCCAGAGAAAATGTCAAAGCTGCTACCGTGGAGCACCAGCAACCAACTGTTGCATGTCTCTGTCTCAGTAATCCCCCGACAGAAGGTCACATGATTGCAACAGCTCTTTCTTCCCTGCAAAGGTTCTGCTGGTACCAGGTCATAACCTGGTAAGTGGGAAGTGTCTGCCTTCGGCTGGTTTGTGCAAGAGGGCCACCTTAGGTTTCCTTGAGGACATTTATCTTGGCGCAGATCTTGAGGGCAGGGCCCAGCTTGATGTTCATGGCACTCATAAGATGTTCTTCTTTAAGTAATAAAAGAGCCTGTCCATCAATCTCCTGGGAGCGAAACTCCTCTGCAATCTCTTGGCAGCCTGGAAGGAAATGGTGAGAACGTGTGAGAAAGGGCATGGGAGCACCAGAACACAGAATGGAGGAAATGAGACAAACTCGAGCCTAGCAGTCGTTAACCCCAAGTATCTGTCCCAAATTCAGGAATATAAAGGGCTGAGATGGCAAGCTATGAAAGCAAAGTGAAATTAAAATTGGAGCAGCTAGCTATAAAAAAGGCCAAGACCAAGAAAGGAAGAACTATGTGTTCAACCACAGAAATCATTCTAACCATTTGGGGAGGGGGAAGAGGGAGGAAAAAAACATGTTTTCTTTTGCACTGGAAAAAAAATCAAAGTTAGGGTTCTTTTTGACATTTCTTGTTTAAGGGCCCAGAATTCAGGCCAATAGCAAGAAGGGTAGGGTGATTTTCTTTCCTGGAGAAAACTGTCTTTGTCAGGAACCGCCTACAAACAGTCCTGCCTTAAAAAGAGTGGGACAACAGTGCTCCCTTAGCTTGTAATCCCCTTCTCCACTAACTAAAAATCGTTTATCCACAGTGGGAATCATAGCTACTCACACATAAAAAGTATACTTTACCGAAAAATTATTGGTGAGAAATAGAGTTGCATCACAAGATAAGAAAACAAACGCTGCAAAACTGCTAACATTGGCCGGGCAGGGTGGCTCAGCCTGTAATCCCAGCACTTTGGGAGGCCGAGGCGAGTAGACTGCCTGAGCCCACAGGTTCAAGATCAGCCCAGGCAACTTGGCGAGACCTCATCTCTACAATAAATCAAAAATTAGCCGGGCATAGTAGCACATGCCTATAGTTCTAGCTACTTGGAAGGCTGAGGCAGAAGGATCGCGTAAGCCCAGCAAGTCGAGGCTGCGGTGGCCGTGAGCGGCCTGGGTGACAGAGTGAGACTCCAGCTCAAAAAAAAAAAAAAAAACAACTGACATTATAGAAAACAATGACAACGCAGAAAGAAATGAGGAAACCCAGCTATGGGCAAGCAACTTGAATAAATATTGAGAGTAGAGCCCATGTACTATACCACCCAATCACCTACGGCTTAAAGTCACGCTCCCTCTTCTAGAAGCCCTTGTGGGATGTCCTGAGGAACAATGACCCAGGTTCTCTGGAGACGCTCAGTACCATGGAGAGAAGCGATGAACTCATACACCTCCTCTACACTCCAGCGGCTGGGATTACTGGACAGGAACACAGGGTTGATGCCGTGTAGTTCCGGTGTAGGTGGAGCAGTATTGGGGTTCCCCAGGTCACGGTCTCCATGCCCAGCTCTTACTGATAAAGGCCCAGGAGAAGTTGGGGAGAGTGCTTCATCATAACTGGAATTATCTGAACCCCGGCTAGAGTCCTCTTGACCCTACAGAGAAACAAACCAGTGAGGTCAGGAATAACAGTGTCATGAACTCCCCTCTCTCTCCAACCACCCTGGTTGAACAAAGGAAAAACTAATCTTAACCACACGTGAAATAATCTACACTTCATTTACAAATGCTCGAAGTCTGTACACTCAAGTGCCTTTTAAGTACCAACCGTATCACTGCCTTAATTCTCCCCTCGTCCTAACAGTGGATCCAGCTTTTCTCTACTCAAGTAGTGTAAGGATTAATGGATAGGTGAACCAGTAGTCACATGACCGGAAACAAGAGACATCAGGCTCTAGTGGCATTTGGGAGTAATGCAATTGACAAAATCAGAGTTCTGGTGTCACACCCTTTTACCCAGGCAAAGGAGCTGCCCTGTGGAGAAAGAACAAAGGCCCATTTAAAAGGTAGCTGGCTCTGCAACAGCAGCTCACCCGGTGGCGTTTGCCCTGAATCTTGGCACGGGCAATGTCAGAGGAGCTGCGGCGGGGGCCACGCCTGCGAACGCGAGCATAGTTGGCTTCTTGAAATTCTTTCATCTTTTTCCTCTTCAGCCGGAACTGATGGCTACAACTCACATTGTACCTAGATAGGGCACAGACAGATGCCAAAGGTGCTACAGAAGACTACCTTGCTACTGACCCTAGATGTGAGTTAGTATTTTAAGAGCTGATTTAGGGTAAGGGAATACAAGCAAAGGAGGAGACATTAAAATACTAGCTGAAGGTTGAGGCTGCAGTGGCCGGGAACGGCCACGGCACTCCAGTCTGGGTGACAGTGAGACTCCAGTCAAAAAAATAAAAAAATTAAATAAATAAAATAAAATACTAGCTGAGATGATGCTGGGGAAGAAATGAGATTGAGAAATCGGTGCGAGAACAGGGTGCCGGAAGTACCTCTTAGCGCAAGTCATGGAGCAGAACCTCTTGGAGCCACGAAACTGCTCTGCAGGGGCGTACTTGCCGCAGTACTCACACTTCAGGAGGTTCGCCTTCTTGTCTAACTCTGAAAAGCAAGCATTGCTGGAGAGTTACCATGGCTTTCTGCTGCTCCTCAGGCTATCACTAGACCCACTAGACCCAGAGCAGGATTCTAGTGATTCTCAGGGTTTGCCTCAAAGACCTAGACAACCTAACTGAGCATCCCTAAAGCACGAAGTCCAAAATCCGAAACTGTAAGGCTTTTAAAGTCTTCCTAACCTTAATTAAGCCAACCAATTCCATTTCAGATGTCTTACTAAGTTTATCCTAATTCACACACACAGATCTCAGATGATTCTACTTCTGAATAGGAGAGAGGAACCAATTACTAATGCCTGGAAAGAAAAAAGATCCCGCTCCCACAAAGATTTCCAAAAGCACAGAGGAAAATATAAGTACAAGTCCTTAATATAGATTATAAAATCTAGAATAAGGAGAAGTGGAAATTAAGAATACAATGTCCTATTTTATGTCATTTTTTTGAAAATACAGCTTTATAGTAAGAATGAATCAACAGGTTACTTTAGTTTGATAAAACTCCTCTAATCCAATACAACTTGTGTGACAGACAACGTACTCCAAGATGTGACACAAAGGTTTCTGTGTGTAGATGGACTTCATAGTATTCCTCCTTTAAACAGGTAATTACCACTTGACACTAAGTCCTCAAACACATCTTCATGAGTCTCCTTCCCCCAGATGAGTCCCTAAGTACTCACCTGTAGAGGGGCTGTCTCCTCCCAAGGGGCCACCTGACTGATTCTCGGCCAGCCCTGTCGAAAGGCCAGTCTGCAGTGGCTTCTCAGACTCCTTCAGTAACTGAGAACAACCCACCTGTCCCAGAAAAATTTTGGAATTCAATTAGCCTGATTATCTTCTGCCTCTCTATAGCTTTCCTCAACATCTCCCATTATCATGTCTTTGCCCGGATCTCTAACTATATGGCCGTGTCTGGTTCAGAGAGAATCACTTTTTTAATATAGCAATCAAGTTTCTCTAACTTGCTTTTTTCAGATAAGACATTAGTGAACAGGTTCCCACCCTGGCTTCCTATTTTGTCCTTTCCCTTCCTAAGGGACAGGGAATATACCCTAGAAGTCAAGACACAAGGGTTCTAATTCTGGTTCTGCAACATGTGGTACCTAGGAAGGTCCCTTAACTTTTTTTTTTTTTTGAGTTGGAGTCTCACTCTGTCACCCAGACTGGAGTGCAGTGGCCATTCCTGGCCACCGCAGCCTCGACCTGCTGGGGCTCCAGCGATACTTCCTCCTCAGCCTTCCAAGTAGCTGGAACTACAGGCGCACGCTACCAGGCCCAGCTAATTTTTGATTTATTGTAGAGATGAGGTCTCGCCAAGTTGCCTGGGCAGGTCTCGAACCCGCAGGCTCAGGCAATCCTCTCACCTCAGCCTCCCAAGCTGGGATTACAGGCTTGAGCCACTGTACCCAGCCTTTTTTGGGGTTTTGTTTGTTTTTGGTTTTTTTAGTCAGAATCTCACTCTGTCACCCAGGCTTGGGTGCAGTAGCATGCTCACAGCTACCATAGCCTTGACCTAGTGGGCTCAGGTGATCCATCTATCTCAGCCTTCCAAGTAGTTGGAACTACAGGCATGTACCATTTGTTTTCTTGTTCCATTGTAAAGACAGGTCTTACCAAGTTGCCCAGGCTGGTCTCAAACCCCTGGGTTCAGGCAATCCTCTCACCTTGGCCTCCCCAAGTGCTGGGATTACAGGCACGAGCCACTGTGCCCAGCAATACTGTAGTTTTAAAGGTTACTTTCTACCTTTTTCTTGCCTTTTCACAACATTTTCATTTTCTGGTTCACATACTCTTTCTTTCTTTCTTCCTTTCCTTCTTTACAAAATAAACTACACAATTAACCATTCTCGAATTTAATAGTTCTGTGCCTTTTGTTTTTAGTGGCGTCTGAAAAGACAACAATCAGACCAAGTCCCCACTTGAAAGTCCCACCTCATGGCCCTGCCCTCACCGGGAAAGGTTCTGCTCCTTCTTGAATAACAAAGCCTTCAATGATGTGGGTGAGAATCTGGGGCTTCACAATGGCCTGTGGGGGTTTTGAGTCACCCATTTGCCTGGACACCATGGCTAGTGTAGGAGGTGGTACGGATGGAGCAGGGGTCAAGGCTACTAGGTCACTGCTTGGGGTGTTAGCATTCACATTGGCCACTGGTTCAGCTTTCTCTGGAAAACAAGCACAGATTAAGGAACAGATATAGGATGATGTAATTGAGTCCTCTGTTAGCTGAGCCAGCTCGATCTTCCACAGCAATGTATGTTCAACCTGGATCATTCACCCTGGATGCTGTTTTCAGATCTACTCATTTGTCCACCGGGTTCAGGCCCGTTTTCTACTAAACCGGACTTTTCTTTCAGCTCACTCGGTACACGTATCTGTACTCTGTGCACTCCAACAGCATATTAGAAGTCAGTTACCTCCAAGACTGCTCTTCTCCTCCACAGACCTTGGGCTCTCTGCTACTGGCGATGCCTTGGCAGGAAGCATTGAGCCCAATGTGGAGACATCATCTCTCTCCTCCTCAGACTCAGCCTTGCGTTTGACGGCCAATGTCTGGGGTTTACCCTGTATAGTAAAGAATAGGAAATAAGCAAAGATGCAGGAGTGAAGGAAAATAAGGAACCACAACTACTACCATACTTTCGAAGAAAACTTTCTTCCAGATTCCCTCATTTGTCCACTTCCCATAGTACACTGAAACTCCCGGTCATTCCCAAGAAGTACATCTTCAAATCAGGACAAAAGAAGATATGACATTATTTAGTCTGGCCTAGGTCTTGAAACCCTGTATTCATTATGGGCCAGCTAAGATCTGCTTTTCCAAAGACTGATTTGGTTAAGGATCTCTCTTTTCTTTTTTCTTTTTTTGAGTTGGGGTCTCACTCTGTCACCCAGGTTGAAGTGCAGTGTCTCGCTCACAGCCACCGCAGCCTTGGCCTGTTGGGCTCAGGTGATCCTTCCACCTCAGCCTTCCAAGTAGCTGGAACCACAGGCATGTGCCACCATACCCGGCTAATTTTTTTTCAGTTGTAGAGATGAGGACTTGCCATTCTTACTCAGGCTGGTCTCAAACCCCGAGCTCAGGCAATCCTCTCCCCTCTGCCTCCCAAAGTGCTGGGATTACAGGCTTGAGCCACCACGCCTGGCTGGTTAAGGCTATCTTGACCTAACTTAGTACATATCCAAAACCCCAGTATGCTTCAGGATCAAATTTAGGAGTATGAAGGTCAAATAGTACATACATTAATGTCTGTCCTCCTACAGAGGGAACAGACAAATACCATAACAACCTTCTTAACTCTTTCTTCCCCTGTGACATTAAGCTCCGTTTCCACGCTGCCCCAGGTCCACTCTCTTCCGTGGCAGTACCCTGAAACCACGAGACATGACTCACCGGCAAGTGCACAGACTGCATGTAGAAGGCAGCAGGGACCTGGGCTACAACGGGCGAGGAGGTGGTAGTCCCCCCTTTGACCACATGTGCCGTCCCCTGCACAGGAGCCAGGGTCATCCCAGGGGCCAAGGTAGGAGGGCATTCCTGCAGTGCACCAGGAGCCTGGGATGAAGGTGGCGAGGCAGCCAAATGGGCCTGACCAGGCTGCACTGCACCTGGCATCCCTCGGGAAGTGGGGACAGCAGCTGCCAGCTGTGCCAGCCCCAGAGCCTGTGCCTGGGCTGTACCTGGCTGTCGGGTGCCTACTACTTGCACGGGGATATGAGGAGGTGGTTGCGGGGCAGCAGACATCTTGGCAGCCCCCAACTGAGGAGGCTTGAGCGGTGCTGCGGGAGATTTGGATTGGATGGGGACTGGTGGCTTGGGGGCTGGGTCAGGGGGAAGGGACAGCGGTGAAGACTGAAGCATGGGCTGAACCACCAGAGTTTGGGCTTGTTGCTGGACCTGGGCAGGTGGGACCTGTGGGGGCGGAGGGGCAGGGAGGGCTGTGGCCTGCGGCGGCGGCGGTGGTGGTGGCTGCTGCTGCTGCTGCTGGGCCAGCTGGAGGTGTGTGGCTGTGTGGAGGAGCTGGGACTGCCGGTGCTGGAACTGCTGCTGGTGGTGGATGGCAATCTGCTGCTGGATCACCACCTGTTTCTGCTGAAGGTGGATCTGCTGCTGTTGCTGAATCAGTGAATGCGGCTGGATCTGCGTGTAGGTGGCTACAGGAACAATTCCAGGATGGAACAGAGAAAAAAGCGGAAAACAATAATCGTTCTAAATTAAAATAAAAGCATCTTTCCAAGGTGTTACCGAGTTGTGGAATCTCACAGTGAATGGAGATCTGGCCATCATCTCATCCATACTCTTTCCAAGCCAGATATTACCAACAACCCCTAGTCTTACGGATTTCAAAGAAAGAACTCTTCTACTCAAGCATCTTACAATCCTCAGTAATGTTTTTATTTTTTTTATTTTTTGAGTTGGAGTCTCACTCCGTCACCCAGGCTGGAGTGCAATGGCGTGCTCACCGCCACCCCGAAATAAAGGAGGCAAAAATCAACATTACCAAATAAGTATACACATCTAACTACATCTTACCCGCTTGCTTATCTGAAAGCAAGTACAAACTATTTAGGTTTATTTATTATTATTTATTCTTTTTCATCCTTATCATTAACACAGGTAATCACAAAGTGACTATACGAGGGAAGAACCCAAAAAACCTGGAATTTATTTATAAAAAATTGTGGATTTGTTCTTACATGTTCCAACTCCAGTCACCTTCAAAGCACTCTCCATTTGATGCAATACACCTATCGAGATGCTTTTTCCACTGCTGAAAACAATTTTTGAACTCATCGATTTTGATGCCGTTTAGTGCTTCTGCCATTTTTTTTGTTTCCCCTCTTCCACACTGCAAAATGTTTCCCTTTGAGGACTTTTTCATCAGGGAAACAAAAGTCGCCAGGCAACACTGGGTGGACAGGGAGAACGGGGCACAGGGGGTCGTGCCGTTTGGGTCAAAAACTACTCAACACTCAGTATGGGGTGGGCAGGTGAATTGTCACAGTGGAAGAACCAGTCACCTGTTTGACACAAGTTGGGATGTTTCTTCCACAAACTGTGACGCAACCTTCGCAAAACTTCCAGATAAAAACTTTGGTTGACCATTTGATCCGGAGGAACACATTCTGAGTATAATACAAGGGGCCTGCCCACCAAAACATTATTCCGGTTTTTCTGAAGGGTCCCTCCTTGTATTAAACCATGGCTCTATTTACTAGTCTATTTTTTTTTTGAGTTGGGGTCTCACCCTTGTCACCCAGGCTGGAATGCAGTGGCATACTCACAGCCACTGCAGTCTAGACCTGCTAGGTTTAGGAGATCCTTCCGCCTTAGCCTTCCAAGTAGCTAGAACTAAAGATGCACACCACCACGCCCAACTAGTTTTTGTGATTTCTTGTGGAGATGAGGTAACCCAGTTATCCAGGCTGATCTCAAACCCCCAAGCTCAGGCAATCCTCTTGCCTCGGCCTCACAAAGTGCTGGGATTACAGGCTGAGCCACCGCACTAATTACTACTCTTAAGAGTTATATGGAACTTGTACTAAATCTGCTCTACACTGGACCAACTAGCCACCAATAAACAGTATTTAACTGTATAAATACAATTATACACTTTACTGTACGTTACATAAGAAGAGGGAATCTGCTTTTCAAAGATGTAGAAAACAGTAGACAATTCAGCAAGACTGGGTGAATAAATGGTTAGAATAAACTAAAGAACTCGGGGCCTGAGAAGACAATCTGTAAGGCTACCTGTAAGACAAGGCAACCTGTAAGCTCACTGCTACATAGTGAAAGCAGATAAGATTTCTGCTACTGTCCTCCTGTCCCTGAACTAACATGTTCAAGGCCGATGTGATTATTTTTCATTCCACTATTCCAGAGCCAAGAGAAGCAGGAAAAAAAGTAAAGGAATGTACTCCGAAGATTTCAAACAAGTTATGAGAGAATAATGACATTGTGAGGGGTGACAACCTACCTGAACTAATAAGCGTCTGGCTGGGTGCAGGTGTAGCTGTCCGTGTCAAGTTCATGCCCACATTCTGCTGACCACTCCCATCTGCTTCGGCCTTCTTGGCTGCTGCGCTTTCTGCCTCTGTCTGGCTGCCCTGACTCACAGTCACTGTTTGTGCCGCAGGCAATGGCTGCACAACTCCTGTGCCCTTCCTGGGACAGCTCCCACCACCAATTCCTGAGGAAGGCAACTGACCCAAACCCCCAGGTGCCTGGCCACCCCCACCTGGACCCATGGACCCTGGGATGCTATTCCCGCTGCCTCCGCCAGCTTGGCTAAGGTTGAGGGACTGGGCTGAGGCCCCAGAGGAAGCCTGTGCTACAGCCAGGGCCTGGCTAGAGGCCTGAGAGAGGCTAGAGACAGGGGACGCTCCAGGAGGAATGGCCTTCTGAGTGGAGCCTTGCATTTGGGGTCCTTGGGCTGAGGCTTGTTGGTTCCTCACTGCCAAGTTCTGCACCTGAAAGATATGAAAAAAACAGACTGAGAAAAGGAGAGCAGAAGGCATTAAGGTCAAAGATTTCTGTGTCTGATTCAAAAACCACCAAGATGGCTGTAAGTATAATATTCCACAGCTTATCTCAGCTCGTTGCCCTGTCTATACAACATGCCTTAAGGGATTCTTTCTGGTCTCCCGGGGAAGAAATCTGGAATCTGATTTTTCAGTTGCCTTCACTCACTATCAAGTCTGTCATCAAGTCTGGTCATTTATTCCCTCGACATTCTCTCTTTCAATTTCCCTTTCCTCGCCATTCATTCACTCCACATCTCCTAGACACCTGCTATGCTTCAGGTACCATGCTGGATACTGGGAACACAGACACAAAAGACATAGTCCCTGCGCTTGATGAGTACTTTCCGTTAGAGAAGACAGGAAAACTGCCAAACAGGATATAATATACATAGATATACACAAAGTGCTACGGGCATACGGAGAAGATCCACTCAAACTTAGGAAGACTTCCTGAAACTGGTGATCTGATCTGACACTCAGTGGGTAATAGTGAAGGTAGGGGTTTGAAGACACTGGTAACGGCATCTGCAAGACCACAGAACCAAAAAAGAGCATAGCATTTTCAGAAAGCATAAATATTTCATTATGTTTGGGGTGACTTCCAGGGGGCTAAAAGAAAGGAAGTGGGTTGGGACTAGGGAGGTAGAAAGGTGCTAGACCATTATGGGCCTGGTGTGTTAAAATAAGGGGAGTCTGCACTTTAGTTTGGGAATAGTAAGTGAATCTGTACAGCTCATTGTAAAATTCCTAGTGTCTGGCACAGTCATTACTCCAAAACAGGAACAGAAGGAATTAATCATGACTGCTCAAATGTGTATAGGAAGACATCGAAGAATATTAATCAGAATAAACAGTCAAATCTGTAGTTGAAGCCATTCTTTCAACATTTCTTCCCATAGCTGTGAGGAGCTGATAATAATAATAAACACTTCTGATGGAAGTGTAAATCAGTACAAATACTTTGGAAAAATGTTTGCCATTCCTATCCTAAAACTGAACAGTCATACACTCTCAACCCAGGAATTCCACAGGAGAAACTCTTGCCATGTTCCACAGGAGGGACACACACCGAGGCCTGGAAACAGCCCAAAGGGTCACCTATGGAAGGGAGGATATAGTATGCAATGGAGTATGACATAGAAATTAAAATTAGTAAGCTACAGTGACTACAAGAAAGCAAATAGATTTTGACAACATATTATTAAGAAAGGGTTCTTGGCTGGGCATGGTGGCTCATGCCTATAATCCCAGCACATTGGGAGGCCGAGGTGAGAGGACTGCCTGAGCCCACAGGTTTGAGACCAGCCTGGACAACTTGGTGAGACCTCTTCTCTACAATAAATCAAAAAATTAGCCGGGCGTGGTGTTGCGTGCCTGTAGTTCCAGCTACTTGGAAGGCTGAGGCGGAAGGATCACCTGAATCCAGCAGGTCGAGGCTGTGGTGGCCATGAGCATGCCACTGCACTCCAGCCTGGGCACTAGAGTGAAACTCCAACTCAAAAAAAAAAAAAGAAAGGGTTCTCAAAAAGTTTACATACAGCACAAGTACCTTATAAATTTAAATACAAGTAGATATTACATATGGTGTCTGGGAGGTGCTTCAAAATAATCCACGGGCAGAGGGCAGAGGCCTGAATATACCAGCTATGTGCTGATAATTGTTGAAGCTGAATGGCAGATACAAAGGGATTCATATCTTTTTCTATTTTATATGTTTGAAATTACCCATAACAAAAAGTAATTTTTGAGCCGGGCTCGTGGCTCAGCCTGTCATCCCGCGCCTTTGGGAGGCTAAGGGGAGTGGATGGCCGGAGCCCGCGGGTTCGAGAGCCGCCTGGGCAGCGAGACCTCATCTCTACAATAGATCAAAAATGAGCCAGGCGTGGTAGCACGTGCCTGTAATTCCGGCTATTCGGAAGGCTGAGGCAGAAGGATCGCTGGAGCCCAGCAGGCAAGGCTATGGTGGCCGGGAACGGCCACTGCACTCCAGTCTGGGCGACCGAGCGAGACTCCAACTCAAAAAAAAAAACAAAAAGTAATTTTTGGAAATATATAGAGATGCAATGAAAATATATAAAAAGAGACCCAAGGGAAGGATAGACCTAGAAATCAGAATGGTTACCATGTGTAAGAAGAGCAGGCAGTAGGTACAACTGTGGATTGCTTATCCTATTATTCAAAACTCTGAATGAATTTTATTTATTTATTTCTGAGTCGGAGTCTCACTCTATCACCCGGGTTGGAGTGCAGTGGCACGCTCACAGTCACTGCAGCCCCGACCTGCTGGGCTCAGGAGATCCTTCCACTTCAGCCTTCCAAGTAGCTGAAACCATAGGTGTGCGCCACCACATCCAGCTAAATTTTTTTTTTTTAGTTGTAGAGACTAGGTATCACCATACTGCCCAGACTGGTCTCAAACCTGTGAGCTTAGCCAATTCTCTCGCCTCTGCCTCCCAAAGTGCTAGGATTAAAGGCGTGAGCCACTGCGCCCAGCCAAAATTCTGAATGAATTTTAAAAGCTCACGGAGAGACCAATGCTGAGAGTGTCATGAGCCAAGAATTATAATTTATCAAATTCTGTGTATCAGAAGTGCAATTAAACATAGAAGGCCAGGATCGGTAGTTCACACATATAATCCCAGCACGCTGGGAAGACGAGGTGAGAGGACTGCTGGAGCCCATGGGTTCGAGACCAGCCTGGACAACTTAGTGAGAGCTCATCTCTACCATAAATCAAAAAATTAGCTGGGCATGGTGGTGCATGCCTGTAGTTCCAGCTACTTGGAAGGCCGAGGTTGCGGTGGCCATAAGCGTGCCACTGTACTCCAGCCTGGACGACAGAACGAGACTCCAACAAAAAAAAAAATAGTAGTAGTACCCAGGTGTGGTGGCTCACACCTGTAATCCCAGCACTTTGAGAGGCCAAGGTGGGAAGACTGCTTGAGCCCAGAATCAAGATCAGCCTAGGAAACACAGTGAGACATCGTCTTTGCAAAAAAAAAAAAAAATCAAAAGAAATTAGTCAGGCATGGTGGCACACACCTGGTCTCAGCCACTGGGGAGGCAAAGGCAGGAAGATCGCTAGAGTCCAGGAGTCTGAGGCCGCAGCAAGGCATGATCATGACACTGCACTCCAGCCTTGGTGGCAGAGAGGGACCATCAACTCAAAAACAAAAAATGTAGTAGTAACAGCATACTTTTTAAAAATAAGCAACAGTAATTCAGAAGAGAATTACAAGTAAATAAGACTGAAGACCCTGAGCACACGGGTTCGAGACCCGCCTGGGCAACTTGGTGAGACCTCATCTCTACAATCAATCAAAAATGAGCCGGGCGTGGTAGCACATGTCTGTAGTTCCAGCTACTTGGAAGGCTGAGGCGGAAGGATGGGTGAAGCTCAGCAGGTCGAGGTTGCGGTGGCCGGAAGTGGCCACTGCACTCCAGTCTGGGCCACGGAGTGAGACTCCAACTCAAAAAAAAAAAAGACTGAAGTCAAGACCATTTAGAAAACTAGAACAGTAATCCAGGTGAAAATAATAATAATAATAATAATAATAATAATATAAAAGCCTGAATTCAGGCGGCAGCAGTAAAGAGGAGGTAATGAAACTTTTGAGAGAGACTGACAAGAATCGCCAGTGGCCGGGCACAGTGGCTCAGCCTGCAACCCCAGCATTCTGGGGAGGGAAGGTGCATGGAGTTCAGCCATGGTGACGGCCAAGAGCCAGCAGAGAAGAAGGCAGAAGGCACAGGAGACAGTGGATATGATAAGCTTCTTGACAAGGCAGGAGGGGTCCAGAGCACAGAGAAGGTGTGGCTCTACGGTAGGATCCATGAGAGAAGGAAGGGAGGGGGCGGTGACGGGTGTGTATGCAGGCAGATGTACAGGTTTGGTGGAGGCACTGATGAAGTAATGCTCGTGTCATGGATCTTGTTTTCTCTGCAGAGGTGAAGAGTGAGAGGAGAAGGAGAAGGTGCTTTGGAGGCATCGAGTAGGAAACTGAAATAGCCGTTATGGAAAGAAAGCTGATTAGAAAAACTATATAATTACTACATAATATTATGTGCCCCAGCACCCAATCCTGGTGATTTTTTTTTTTTTTTTTTGAGTTAAGAATCTCATTCTGGCCGGGCTCGGTGGCTCAGCCTGTAATCCCAGGCCTTTGGGAGGCTGAGGTGAGTGGATTGCTGAGCCCGCGGGTTCAAGACCCGCCTGGGCAGCGAGACCTCATCTCTACAATAAATCAAAAAATCAGCCGGGCATGGTAGCACATGCCTGTAATTCCGGCTACTTGGAAGGCTGAGGCGGAAGGATCGCCGGAGCCCAGCGGGTCGAGGCTGCGGTGGCCGGAATC